CGTAACTGCTAAATACTTTAAATGTGACTACTCTCACTGAGGAATTAAAAATTTAATTTTCTTTGGTTTTAGTTAATTTAATAAATTTAAATATGTACATGTGGTTAGCAGCTACCCTATTTGACACCATAGTATCTATGGCATATATCTAAAGTATTTATACCATAAGAGCCCTGGTGGTGTAGTGGGTTATGTAATGGGCAGCTAACTTCAGCAGTTCAAAACCACCAACCAGCTTCAATGGAGAAAGATGAGGTTTTCTACTCCCATAAAGAGTTAGTTTCAGAAACCCCCAGGGGCAGTTGTACCCTCCCATAAGGTCACCATGAATCAGAATTGGCTTGATGGCAATGAGTCTGGTTTGTTTGTTACCACCACTCTGAGGGAGAAACGATGTTTCTGTATAGATTTACAGATTTGGAAGCTCTATGAGGCAGTTCCACTCTGTACTTAGGGTTGCTACGAGTTGGAATCAACTTGATTGTGAGTTTGGTTTTTCTGTTTTTGGCATACGAGGGGGTACACCCCCCCTCAAACTGGATGTGATGTGAAGGGACAGTGCCTTTGGAGTTCGTTCCACAGGGCAGACTGTTAATCAAGCTTTCTATTTAGAAGTTCTGAAAAGACTGCATACAGTGTGGGGCAATAAAGGTCTGATTTGTGGCAGATGGGGGACTGGTTTTGCCATCATGACAATGCACCCGCTCATGGAGTTATCTCAGTGCACCAGTTTTTGGTAAAAAAACAGCATGCCTCTCTTGCCCCACGCACCTGACTCACCTGACATCACACTGTGTGACTTCTTTTTGTTTCTGTGGAGGAAGAGGGCCATGAAAGGGCAGCGATTTGATGACGAAGAAAAGGTGAAGAAAAAACAAGGGAGGAAAAATAACAAAAAAATAAAAAACCAAGGGAGGTGCTATCAGCCATCCAAACAGATGAGTCCGAAAATTGTTTCTAAGAATGGAATCATAGCTTTGACAAATGTAGTAAGTGTAATGGAGAGTACTACTTTGAAGGTAAGTTGTTTTGTAAAAAATTTAAATTCATAGCTTTGAAAAAAAATTCCATTTTATATTTGACGTATAATTTACTTATAATTAACTTGTATTTCACGTATGAATCATATATATTCCTACTAGTAAAATGTAGACATAATCCTAAAAATTGGCATGAAGGCCCCACTTGATGCTCACCCTCATGAAGAGAACACTGACGATATGGGTTATACAGCAAAGTGTGATGATGAAATTAGATGGTGCCCGGCTATAAGAAAATATAGCACCTGGGGTCTTACATAGACTTGTTTTCAAACAAGCTGCCATCTAAGAGATGAATCAACTAAATCCATGTGGAAGAAGCACACCAGCCTATGTGATCCAAGGATTATAAATAATAAAACCCAAATCTAAAGGAGAGAATAGGGTCAGAGCTTAAGTTATGAATACACAGTTTGCAGATGGCTATGGCTGGCAGTGGAGGCCCCATATCCGTTTGCAGTGTTCACACATGGAATGCCCTCTGATTAGTCGAGTGACGTGAATAGCTTTGTTACCAAAGAATATTACATTGATTGTAGCAGATGTACTTAAGTTAAAATGCAGTATCTTATAATTTGATCTCCCTCTTGACCCATTTTAAAATTGTTTCAGTTAAAAAAAAAGGGGGTGGGGGAATACACGTGATTAAGCCTCTGGTGACGCTCCTGACCATAGATCAGGGATACGAATAGCCTTGCTATCATGTAGGTGCACTGGAAGTGGATTACTGCAGGTGAATTTAGGTTAAAATCTAAGTCCTCATCATGTGACCTCCCTTTTGACCCAGTTTAAATTTGTTCTAATTTTTAATATGTTCTACTTTCTTTCCAATTGAGGTTTTTTGTGTTTTATTTTGTTACTGTTGTGGATATTTATTTTTTGTTAAATGTTTTTCTATATATGAAATTTAGGATAGGTAACTAGAGCCAGCAATTGGATTAATGTTTCTTGGGGACACAGCAGAGAGGGTGGGGGAAATGGGCAGCTAATAATAATGAGAATAAGAAGAGAAAAATGTTCTAAATTGATTGTGGTGATGAATGTACAACTCTTCTTAATATAACTGATCCATTGAATTATATGATATTTGCTGTCTATAAGTTTGTTATTTAATAAATATACAATATGCAACCAAAGTTATTGTTTTTAAATTATTTCTTTCATCCTGTCTATAACATTTCCATCTATCCAACAAATTGTTACCAAGCATCCACCAAGTGTCAGCAATAGGGTAGGTATTGGAATTACTATGGTTAAATAAAAACTATTATTAAAAAAACCTTGTGACTTAGTGGAACTTTTATCTAGTGGCTGTCCATAATTTAGACTCTTAAATAATATCTATATATGATGGTCATATGTAACTTATTTTTGAGCACTAAATTTTTTTAAAATTAAAATAAAAAAAAAATCATTTTATTGGGTTCATGCAACTCTTAACACAATCCATATATCCCTCCATTGTGTCAAGCCATTTGTACATTTGTTGCCATCATCATTCTCAAAATATTTGCTTTCTACTTGAGCTCTTGGTATCAGCTCATTTTTCCCCTCCCTTCCCCACAAACCCTTGATTATTTATAAATTATTATTATTGTGTCATGTCTTACACGGTCTGATGTCTCCCTTTGCCCACTTTTCTGTTGTCCATCACCCAGGGAGGGGGTTATATGTAGATCATTGTGATCGGTTTCCCCTTTCTCCCCCACCTTCCCTCCACCCTCCTGATATCGCTACTCTCATTATTGGACCTGAGGGGTTTATCTGTCCTGGATTCCCTGTGTTTCCAGTTCTTATCTGTACCAGTGTACATGCTCTGTCTAGCCGAATTTGTTAGATAGAATTGGGATCATGATAGTGGGGGTGGGGTGGGAGGAAGCATTAAAGAACTAGAGGAAAGTTTTATGTTTCATTGGTACTATACTGCACCCTGACTGGCTCGTCTCCTCCCCGCGACCCTTCTGTAAGGGGGTGTCCTGTTGTCTAAAGATGGGCTTTGGGTCTCCATTCTGCACTCCCCCTCATGTACAATGACATGATTTTTTTGTTCTTTGATGCCTGATACTTGATCTTATTGACACCTTGTGATCACACAGGCTGCTGTGTTTGAGCACTAAATTTTACACATATATGTACATATGTGTATGAGCATATATATGATACACACATGCATATATATGTGTGCACACAGATAGATTTGAACTGGGACTCTTTCTAGCTAAATGGGTGAAGGAAGAAGAGGCGGACAAGTGATCACAATAAAGCCAAAATGCCTGTCGCCATTAAGTTAGGGCCTGTTCACCGTCACCCTGCATATGTGGCCTCCATGACTGTCGTTCTTTTCAGGAGCACAGAGCTTCATCTTTCTCTGATGGAACCATAAGGCTTCCTTAAGTGATTATGCTAAGCAACCCATAAAGGTCCTTTAAGAACTACATAAGTACTAAGTAGAAATAAGCATATTAGAAACGATCTAAACTTTGATCAGAAAAGAGAAAGATTCCTTACCCAAGGAGACCATGTTCCCAACATTCTCCTTCCTGATCTCCCGGGAGAGGTCTCTGTTCGCAGGAATAGGATGCACATTCTTTTTGTAGGGGAAACCCTTTGTCATGTGGATATCTTTCACGGGTCCCTGAAACAACACTAATACCAATGACTACCAAAAGAACTGCGTGGGTCTTTAAGGATGAGTGATCATGAGCGAAGCAATGAAGGGCCCTAAGGAAGAGCTGAAATAAAGGAACCAAGTGTAAGTACCTTGTTAAACGAAAAAGAAGATACTGTGAAGAATCATAAGATAGGATTAAGCAAGGGGGCCCCTTACTGAGCAGGTTCAGTCTAATATTTTCTGGGAAAAATAAGGGGGAGGAAGAAATCGTTTGGAGGAAATAGGAAATTTTGAGGCTAGTGAAGACACATGCAGTCGTTGGAACTGAACAGGAAGTATGGCCAGAGAGAATAGTTAAAATTTACCTGCGATCCAGTAGAAAGGTATGTGACTGTGACTTCTGGATCTCGGGTGTCCCATTCATCAGCAGGGGCAGGAACCCAAGGAGAAGGTTGAGCTGTAAGAAGGGAATGAAGCAGTTTGTGTTCTGGGCCCTAGCCCTTTCATTTATGCTGCCGCTCCTTTTAAGAAGTGAACATGTGGACGCAGCCAACAAATATAAATAGACTACCTTCTTAGTACATTCAGAACTATTACTTAACCATGGCCCCTAAGATGATGCTTAGTGAGGTGCCACTGACCTGTGTACAACAGAGCAAAACACTGCTGCTCCTTACCTGGTTTGAGCCCATTGTTGTAGTCACTGTGTCAGTCCATCTTGCTGAGGGCCCTCCTCTTGTTTAATGCCCTCTACTTTGTTGCTGTTGTTGTTCGGTGTCATTGAGTCGGCTCTGACCCGTCGCGACACTATGCGCAACAGCATGAAACTCTCTCTGGTCGTGTGCCATCCTCACAATCATCCCTGTTTCTGAGCCCATCATTGCAACCACTGTGTCCACCTATCTTGTCAGGGCCTTCCTTTCGCCTGCCCCTCGACTCCACTAAGCATGTCTTTCTCCAGGGGCTGGTCTCTCCTGACATCTCCACAGTCCGTATGATGAAGCCTTACCATCCTAGCCTCTAAGGAGCACTCTGGCTGTTCCTCTTTCAAGACAGATTTGCTGGTCTTTTAGGAGTCCATGATGTTTTCTTTTTCTTCTTGAGTGCATGGTATTTCAATATTCTCCACCAGCATCACACTTCAAACACATCAATTCTTCTTCGATGTTCCTTGTTCAATATCTAACTTTCACATGCATATGAGGTAACTGAAAATACTTGGTTCAGGTGCAGGTTCGTCTTCAAAGTAACATCCTTGCCTTTCAATACTCTAAAGAGGTCTTGTGCAGCAGATTCACCCAATGCAAACATCTTTATCTTTTGACTCCTGCTTCTATGAGCAAGACAAACTCCATGACAACTTCATTTTTTTTCTCCATTTATCATGATGTTACCTACTGGTTCAGTTGTGAGGATGCTGGGTTTTTTTACACTCAATTGTTATCCATAGTGAAGATCGCAATCCTTGGTCTTCATTAGCAAGTGCTTCAATCCCTCCTCATTTTCAGGAAGTGAGGTTGTGTCATGTGCATATCTCAGGTTGCTCATAAGCTTTCATCCACACCCCCCTCATTTTCATGACCCCAATTCTACCTTACAAATCCGGCTAGACCAGAGCAAGTATACAGGTACAGATAAGAACTGGAAACACAGGGAATCCAGGACAGATAAAACCGTCAGGACCAAGATTCAGAGTAACCACACCAGGAGGGTAAGGGGAAGGTGAGGGGAGAAAGGGGGAACAGATCACAAAAATATCTGTTTATTCTGCTGCACATTTCCTAACTCTTGAAGCTAAATACACCTTTCTCTGCAAATATTCAATCTACTTTCAAACAGGTATGCACCCTACTCTGGGCAAGTTGGGAGTGTCAGGGATGAAATATCAGTCTGCTGGGTCTCTTACGTTGAACATGCTGAGTTCTTCTTACCATTCTTGGGACACGGCCGGTGCTCTCTTGGATCGTTCAGCTGTTCCCGGTGTCCTGAGCGGAGGGTTCCAGCTTCCTCCAGACACACCACCTGCGGCTGGGTCTGCATCAGTTCTGGGTGAAAACTTGCCACGTCCCACCGTGCTCCAAGCGAGGATGGACTCTTTGAGTGCACAGGACTGCTGACCTAGGAAATAAGTCCAAAATCGTAACTGAAACACAAAAGAAAAGCAGTAGACATCAGGATCAGATCCCCCCAAGAAAGAGATCAAAAAAGGATAGAAAGAATGAGGGCGCTGGCTTAATAGTACTGCTTACAGGGCAGAGAAGAGGAGAAATAAGAACACTCCGAGAGTCTGCCAGGAGTGAAGTACACAATCTTGTTATTGGAATAGGCATTTTTTAGTTCTCATGCCTATTAGGCTCGGATAAGATACAAGTCATCAAAACATGAATGTATAGTCCCTAAAACCAGAACGCAACAAAAAAAACCTTACGGGTGTCCACGACTTTTCATTTTTATCAGAGCAGATACCCTCATCTGTTTCCCTAAGCAACTGGTGGGCTTCAGCTGTTGACTTGGTGGCTAGCATTTCAATAAGGAGCCCAATCCGCCCCCAGGGCTCCGGAATAGGTTCATTAGCGAGCTAATGTCCATCTTTGACCAACCCAACAACACAGTGCAAATCCTGGGCAAGGTGACATGGCAAATCTTCTTGCAAATTAGGTGAAATTCCATGATGCTCAAAGAAAGAGATGTTGAAAAACAACTAGGCAAAGCCATTAGCAAACGTGGGTCTGGCAGTTACAGCACAGAAGAGCCACAGGGCTGAGGACATTGACAGACACCTCAGAAAACACGGATTAGAACGCGAAGGGATTGCAGAAGGCCTTGAGATAACTAATACGATTCTTGTCCTTTTTTTTTTTCTTTTTGAAGGGAGGTGAGGCAACAAACAGCTCTCTTTAAGATCAAGCTGCAAAAGTCAAATCTTGTGAAATCTAACTGTATTGCTCTCGTACACATGTCTGATTTAAAACAAATATACATTTCATTTCACGGGCTAGATAATGCTGCAACCAAAGAAACACCGGCCCTCCCTTCTTGAATGTAAAAATCTGATCTCCATTTAAAGTGGATTCACTTTACGTGTATTTTATCAGGCCCCTCCCTCCCCACAACGAACGAGTCCTGTCCTCCTTTCCCTGGGGCCCCTCTGCTTTCCCAACTCCCCTTCTTCCTAAACACAAACATTTGGGAAATCCTCTCACCTGCTGCTGTCTCCGTCTCCCAGTCTTTTTCTCCAGATGGACTACCAAGGCCACTGCCTCCTCTCCACTTTCGGGACACTGCTTCTGTGCCCAGTCCTGCAGCTTCTCCGGTAAAATGGTGAGAAACTGCTCGATCACCAGCAGTTCTAGGATCTGCTCCTTGGAGCGCGTGTCTGGCTTCAGCCACCGCCAACAAAGTTCCCAGAGTTTACTGAACGCTTCCTGAGGTCCGGTCACGTCCTGGTAACAGAACTGCCTGAAGCACTTGCGAAAGGTCTCAGACTCGGAGCTGTCCAAGCCTTCCGTTAGACACTCTGCTATCCAAGCGGGGTCCTTTTGCATCATGATTGGGCATCCTTCCACCTCCAGGGGCCCGTCCATCTGAGGATCTAGTGCTGTAGTCATGTTCCGACCAGGGCTCAAAGTCGGGCCTTGCTCAAAAGTCGGGGCCCGCTTGGGGTTCTCGGACGTGTGGGAAGGCAGTGTTAACAATAACCTTTGGGGGAGAGAGCGGGTAATCCCTGCTAATTGATTAAATCTATTCTAGACGCTCGCAAAGGGAACCGTGTACCCTAAGATCCAAACACTGGGCCTCCTCTCCGGAGAAAAGATGTCCCTGGGATGCGGTGGTCCACGATGCATCCCTTTTGTAGTGCAAGGTGGGACCCAGCCGGACCAGAGACCGGAGA